ACAAGGAAAAACAAAAAAAAAAAAAGAACTAAGAGTAGTCATCAACTCATCATCATTGTAAATTATCAAATTGTCTAACAAATTTGCTGATATCATACAAGTTAAAAATGATATAGACAAGTGAAACAAAGGAGATAAGTGAGCATAAAATCAGCCAAAGCATAGCAGCTTCAAGAACAATTGGGAAATCACATGCTCACAAATACAATTCATAACAACTAGAGAGAATAGACCATGAAAGTGTTATTAGATCCAGACATCAAAATAGCAAGTCTGAAATATCTCAAGTTTCACACAAAGGAGGAAGATCTTGGTAAGCAAATATAATTTACAGCAGTAATACTCATAGTGAACACACACACACACACACATGTCTGCAAAATAAAAAATTCAACCTTTAATTTCCTCCATATTAGACTGCAAATGAACCCTATTACACTCCAACATTCTGGAAACTTCCTTTCCAGCATCATAAGCTACCATAAAATGATCTTCAATGTCCTTCAAAGCCTCCAAAAGCTCCCGCCCTCTAACCGGCGTGTCGATCACATTCAAAACCTCGTTTTGCCTTTCCTCAGCCCGGTGCATTTTAGCACCACCCACTTCACTCTCCACAACTTCAGCTCCATTTTCCTTCTCCTTCTCCAAATCACTCCTCTTGCTCTCAACCGCACATTCTCTCTCATCCTCCAGCTCCGGTATCCCTTCTTCTTCCCTCACAGCTCTCAAATCCTCCTCTGAAATATTCCTATTGATATTATTATAAACATTTATCATCTCAGGCGCCGCCATTGCCACATTTTCGAAAGGGTTGAAAAAATCCCACTCGAAACCCCTCTGTGGTGAGGCCATTGTGTTGCTCCGAGGCATGTCCATGTAGAAATACCCACAAATCTTCTCTTTTTCTTCATTTTCTTCTTCTTCGTCATTTTTTTTATTTCTATTTTCACTTTTTTCGAGGGGCCTGTGTTCTTCGGAGGCAGAGCTTCTAGAAGAACTGCATGAGTCGCTAGGTACGGCCTTTTTGCTTGGCTCAGATGGGTTTTGCTTGAGGAATAAAGGGTTTGAGACGACTGCGTTTTTCTCCGGCGCCGGCGATGGGATTGTAATGTACAGCGGCGCAGGAGAATGGCGGGCCACGAAGAGGTTTATGGCCGCCGAGACTCCATAAAGAGACTGAAAATACTTGTAATGTGCATCTGCAAGAGCATACCTTCTCTCAACGGCTCGTTTGATTTGGCGCTTTCTATCTCTACAGATGGACACAACTTCCTCTTCGTCTTGTAGCCTTGAGGCAACACAACCCATGTGTGTGAGAGCAAATTCTTCT